GTGACGTCTTGTAAAAATGAAGAACCCCGAAGAACGGCGGAATGTACCCATGGTTTTGAGAAATGAGACGCTGCAAAAAACAGATCAACAGATAGGCTGTGTTCCGACATTGGTGAAGCTCATACCTGTTGGCCACAGTATGAGTTGAACGCGACATGGAGTGTATCGGAATCTGAGGTGCAATACGAACCACGATGAGCACTTCAATGATGAGGTCTAACTGAGGCAACTGCTGAATGGACTCATACTCATCCATTGGGATCGACGGTGGTGGAAGTCCAGGAAAGCAGTACTGCCAGCACGTAGAGAACACCGTCAGCGAATTCAGAAAAGTAGCCAAGGAATGCCATTGTGCAACGTCGTCAAAGATGCCACTGTGGCGAAGTTCAGTCCACATGATGGATATGCAACCAAGAAAGGCTACAAGGTGGCGGCGACATGCATTCAAGAGACAATGAGCACCAAGCAACTCACAAGGCAAGTAGAGACAAGCACCACACCAAACAAGCAATATGCATGAAGAGTACGGACAAGTTTTGAACCGTTCGTCACCCACGACGCAACCGCCACTCCGGGCTAATATGCAAGCAATGGAAACTGTTCAACCGATGAGTAAGCGGGTAGTCACGATGAGGTGACACAGCGCTTTGTCGTGAGCTTGGTGATGTAGCCGGGTTCGAGTCCCCACAAAGCGGCCATAGCTGCAAACGTAGGTGCATCTCCTTTTGGTATGCGTTGACGAGCCTGAAAGAGCTGGATCGACATAGATTCCAAGGACTTGTTGCCGTTGAGACGAGATGGGTGATTGGCCCACTTAATCAATGACGCCACTGTAGTGGTAGTGGGTGATTGCTTGAGATACAAGCGTGGTTGATCACTGGTCCATGCGTAGTGCTTGATAATGTCTTCTGGCGTGCTGTGCATGGTGAGCAGCTGTGACGCCGCCGGCTTGGAAGGCGGGGGGGGAAAGTCCGTGAAGAGACTGGATGATCCGTGGTTGTTGCTGAACCGAACCATCAAACGACTTGCCATCGAGGGCCGCCGCACTGACCGTGGGCAGGGAGCTGGTGGGCGTCAAAGATTGTGAGTGGTTGGCCGGAGGCGGTGTAACCAACTATGCATCCTTTTTGTGAGATGGTAACGTTGGGGAAGACGAAGCTCGTTGTGATGCCGAATATTGAGCCTGAAGCAACTCATGAGCACGATGTAGGTCATTGAACTTCTTGAGCATGTCTTCTGCTTGGGTAGAGGGCATAAGAGTCGCGTGATGTTGGTGAAGAAACTGAAGTACCAGATTGGCCAAGTGGTCGTGAACCTTGATGCGCTGATTGAAGTCGTCAATGTTGAGCCCCAGCGAATTGGCAAGCTCCTTTTCCAAGGTAAGCAGGTTGAGCGGCTGCGATCGTCGCAGTAGTTTTGAACAGGTACTCCAAAGCAGGGCCTCGGTGTGGGTACGAAATCCTTCCCACGTCACAAATCTCCCGTGAGCAAATGGTCGCAGTAGCCACTTGGTAATGCCCCCGTGTATGACCTGAACCCGGATGTCCATGCCAGACATGTCACGTAGAGTACTGTGCGGGGTGCTGGCAACCGTCATGGGCAGGCTGAAATTGTAGAGTTGGTTGATGTCGAACATGCCATCACCAGGTTTCCAATCATCCGGTAGAGTAAGCCACGCTTTTTGAGGTCGAACTGGTAGCGCAGCCGGGTATCCAGGCGATGGTGTAGCTTGGGAAGAAGTGACCAGTGGTGGCATCACGGGCGTCACGAACTTGGCTGCTGTGGGTTCCGGGGGAAACGGCATCATGTAGTTGACCGGAGCATGGTGAAATTGCTGCATAGAGGAGGGGTTCGATTGATAGTTGCCTGTCGGCACCAGAACTGGAAAGGTACTGGAAGTGTTGTAGCCCGAATTGTGTTGCCAGGAGACCAAGTTGTTCCAATCCATGCCATCCGAGACCTGGTTGTCATTGTGTTCACGTCTGCGTGCTTTGCGAGGTTGGGAGGAGGGACTCCGATCCCGTCTGCGCCGAGTTCTGGATCTGTCTCGATCATCCCGGCGTGACATGACGAAACAGCAACACATCCGGAAATAGTAAAGCTCGTCCTTGAGGCAGGATACAAATCACAATCAACGACAACTCAAGACCATGTACATGCATGTGGATCAACCGACGAACTGCCAGCAGCGACGTCCAGGATTGTGAAACGTAGCTATGAAGATGTGGCTGTCTTCCCTTTAGTGAAACCTCGTTCCTGCTTAAACGTGAAAATCCGCTGTTCTATGATAAGCACGTTGAGGTCAAATTTTCCGGCGTACCGGCCCGGGGTCACACGATGGGTACACACGAGGGTCCCCCACGAATGGGGTGTTCACACTTAGACTCCAGATGGAGGGTTCTAATTTATTTAATCTTTCGAGTACAACTGATGAGGCTCGAGTACAACTGATGAGGCTCGAGTACAACTGATGAGTCTCGAGTACAACTCGGATAAGTTTCGGCTGGCAGGTCACTCAGCTTCACTCTAGTTACTTGAACAGGGAAACAAGGAAGCAACAGCGGTTCAAGGGGGCACCAAGAGGACGTTCAGAACAACACCATCATCTCGCCAGGTACGTCTGGCTGATCAGGCCAGATATCAGCGCAGGTCACGACCCTCTTCGTTGGGTCACCGGTCGTGACTGCAGGTGACCCCCCTGTGCAAGAAACTGTGGTGACAGGGTATTCTGTCACTCCGCACACACACACACGCACACACACACACACATTTGGAAAAACGTGCCTTTTTGAAACCCACCGTTTTTGACTAGCTTTGGCCTGTAGCTCAACTTGTTTCACTTGTAAAGGATTAGGTAGTAACTGACGGTTGTTTTGGCTCAAAGCTTTGAGGTGCTTAAAGGCGCGTTCATGGTAGCGGAGCTGCCTGGTTTAAGAGCAGTTTGACTACTGGATCCATCAAGGCTTGCAGAGGGACTCAGGCTGCCGGATCGGCAGGGGGCACTACGGAAGGCGAGAGACTGATGCAGCTCTTCGCAAACCAGCAGCAGCAACGCAACTGCAGCAGCTGACGGAGTTTGTGTCGCGCAGGTGGCGGGACCAGGCGAGGAGGCTGGGTAAGCATCGAGGAGGCCAGACGCGAATGGAGGCAGCCGTGCGGTGGAAGCTGCCTTCCGTTCAGTGGTGAAGCAAGGCACCCTCACAAGGGGGAGCTGTTGCTGATGCACAGCAAGCCTGGAAAGGGTGGCGCGATGTCACCACGACAGGCGGTCGGCCGGCAAAGGCGGTTGTAGTGGCACCTGTTAGCCATGAGAGGAACAGCAAACGCTTTACACGATTCGGTCTACTGCTGTTCTTTTTGACCTACCATGGCGCGATCATGGCGCTGTGGAAGGCGTTGCTTGAGTTTGTGTCTGACAGAGCAGGGGGTCGCCTAGTGGCGCGCCTCCATGGAGAGGAGCGCTTGTGGCCTGCCTCTCGTCCACCTCATGGTGCAGTTCTTTACAACGTCCGACCTTCAATGGCGCAAGACCAAGCGCAAGCTCCAAGGATGTGTGCGGGCAGGCCTCTCCGGCAAGCAGCAGCAATGCTGTGTGGACCGTGGCATGTTCTACGTCTTCGCAGGCAACATTGGCACAGTCTTTGGAGATGATGGCTTGCCGCAATTACTTGCCTTGCTGGGCGCAGTGCGGAAAGCTTGGAAAGTTGCCGCAAGGTCACTTCGGCCACAAATGAAAGGCTGCTCTTCCTCACCCGCGATAGCGTGGTCTCCCGGAAGCGGAACCTTGAAGCCTGCTGCTTCGCAGCAGGTGGAGGCAGACCGGGTTGCGAGGATTCGGCCCAACCCAAGTCTCTACCAGCCCTTTCCCCCGAGTGTTAGATGGTGAGGAGTGGCTGAAACTCTTTGCGACTGATGCTCTACGCTACCCGATCTTGGTCGTCCTTGGACCTTCCCGCGCAGGGAAAACTGAATGGGCAAAGAGCTTGTTTAAGCGCCCATTAGAGTTAAAGATTGGGGCTTTGGAGTTTTTCCCTGACACACTGCATCAGTTGCAGCGGGGGTTACACGACGGTCTGGTCTTAGATGACGTGAGGGACTTGGCCTTCCTTGTCAACCACCAGGAGAAGCTCCAAGGCAAGTACGATTGCCTGCTTGAGTTTGGCTCCACGGTGGCAGAACTTGTGCGTACCATCCTGACTTGTTTGGCGTGCCCGTTGTTGAACTACTCGACCAAGCATTCGGAGCACTTCAAGAGCCACGACTGGCTAACCCTGGGAACAGGGTTGTGGTGACGCTGTGAGCCAGCAATTCGTAAGCAAGGCGCTTGGGTAACGTAGAACACATCCTCTGGTTGCAGTCTCAGCCCGTTGAGGCCTGCATGTCGGGCTGTGTTCGGGAGGCATGGCCACACGTCTGGCTCTAAACTTGACACTGGCCGCCTTGTAAGACAGAATGCAATGTCCGTGTCAACCGAACTTGAGCGACCGTCCAAGCTTCATCAAAACGCAAAGCCTGCCAAGAGCAAACTTGAGTGGCCACCGTCGTCAACACAATCTGCGGCGCTGAGAGCCTGACTGCGAGCGGGGCCTGCAAAGCCAAGCGAATTTCCTTGGTTCGATGCTGCAAACCTTGCACGGGGCGCCTGGGTGACGGCCAACCAAATTTGTTTGGAAATTTTGCCCCGAGGGTTTGCAGTGCAGCAAACAGACGCCAACTTCTGCGGTCTTCTCCTGTTCGGGGTGGCAGTGTAGAACTTTTCAGGTCCCAAGATATGTCCCTCCAATTCCTCTCCTGCTGGTGCAAAAACTAGGACTGAGGGAATGACACCACCAGCTGGATGGTTTTGAATCGGGGTCATTCCAATTCTCATTCCCTGCCAAGAACGCACCAGCAAGTCTCGGCACAACCCTCTTTGGGCCGGGCAGGAAATGGATTCCCAAACTTCAAACCATAGAGTATGTACACATATATATATATATACTCAATCCATGCCGTCCCAGGCGCTCGCCAGCGCGAGACCATCATGAGCGCGGCCACGAGGCCTTCGGCGTGGCGGAACATGGTGAAGAACGAGGCGGAGGAGCGAGGGGCACATTAGTCACATGAGTCACATGAGTCGCATGGGTATGGGTCAAAAAGATACACCAAAATGGCCCCCTGAGAAAAGGAATCAAATAATAAAATTTGCGGTTTGCCCTAGCACACCCACATGAGTCACATGGTCACTTGAGTTAGGAGCGGGGTTTCTGGGATGGGAAGCAACCTGACCCAGATGCACACCTGGATTTGTTTCTGCAAACTGAGCTAAGATACAATCGACACCCCGGTATCAAAGTGGCCTGCCCAGAACCATGTAAATAATTAGAAAGGCGGCCGCAACTATCTCTAGCTGGGTCCTTCCCTTCACCTCCACTTGAGTTTGGGAAAACTCCACATTTCGGTTTTTGGGGACCGCCATGTGTCTCCAAAATGGGATCCCCCAGAAGAATGCGTTGGGCGAACCCTCAAAAAATGCTGGTTGTCCTGTTGGTTTCCCTTTGAAACAACAAAAAGGGGTACCCTCAAAAGAAGACACTTGCAACTGGTTGGTTTTCGGTCACTTTCTCTTGACAACCCACAAAGGGTACCCTCAACCAAAAGACACACCCGCATTGAGCAGCTAAAACTGCCAGATTCCGGCGGCCGGTTGACAAGTACAATTGTGGAGTACTTTGAAATCAAGCTTTGTCATGATTGTAGGTGTCAACCCCTCGTGTTGTTTTCTCCTATGGGCATGCTCCGGGTTGCCTCAAGTGCCCATCTTCTTGTCAGACCCACATATTTTTCCGGATAACAAGCAGCTGAAAACCTCGCCTTTTTGTTTTTGCTTCCTGCCCCACTATTTTTGTTTCCTTCCGCAAGTAGCCCAAGGCGCGGTTCAGTTGATTCGTCAGGGACATGGGATCCAGGACAGCCGGGCCTCCTTGCAGAAGCTGGTGGAGGACCTGGTGGTGATCCCCAAGAAGAGCCTCGGCGGCTATTCAGTCGCCGGAAACAAGGGGTTTCATCTGTCTGTGGGTGAATAATGGGGTAACCCCAAAATGGCTTGCCCTGGTAAATGGAACCAAGGACTAACACCTGTGGTCTCCTGGTGGTTCAATTTTGACCCACATCCATCTGAGGGATCCCCCAACTAATTACTCTGCCTCAAGGACGTGTCGGGTGGAATAGGGCCCAAAACCCATCTGAGGGCCCTGTGGAACGAGGGCGGGTTTTAGAAATGAAGCCTCCAACTGACTCTTGGAGATGGCTCATTTGGCGAAGAGCGGATTTTGAGACGTGTGTGGTGTCAGCCAGATGTCGACCTCTGCAGACCCAGTGCGAAAGTGTTTTGAGGCTCGGTCATCTTTTTGGGGTGGTTCAGAAGGGAAAGCCAAGGGAGAACCAACTTTATTGGGGGGCTGTTTAAACACACGCTCGGGTCCAAGTGCCCTCTTTGCGGATGGCTTTGGCGGGTTTAGGAGTCAAAGTAATAGGTACTTGGACCCATCGACCTTCGGGGCATAGTCCTTGCAACGCAATTTGTGGGAGGAGCACCTTTGAAATTCACCCAGGAAGGCGCATCCGACATTTCCCTTACAGGTCTGGAACAAAGGCGTAGTTCTGCTTCGAAGTTGGGAACCTCATTTTTTTGGGTGGCTTATTTTCAATTGAAAGGGAACGCATGTTCATGATCAAAGCTTCCAACGTTCAAGCTTTTATGTTGCTGTCTTTTTGGAAGTGCCTGCTTTTTGATCGGTTGAAAACTACACCAAAAGGAAGCCATACATTTTTGGGGTTCCTTGCCCTCAAGGGAGAGTTGCTCTTTCCAGGAGGCGTTTCGAGTTCTTGTCCTGGATCCCAGTGTTTGATATTGAGAAAGTCACATTCGGATCGTGGAAATTGAGTTATCATATCATGTGTTTAACATGAGCCATAAGCACTTTGGCGAATTGCGGACTCTAAATGGTTTGTCGGACATATGTGTTGTTACCATTTGGCCATTCGGCTGTATTCAACCTGCGTTCGTCCCTTTTTGTTTACCCCTCCCAATACATATATATATATATACACATGTCAAAGTCAAAGCCGTACAGTTGAGTAATTTTATCAGACATCTTAGTATACAGTATGTGTATACACAGCGCCAGCCCCCGACACATCTGCGCGCTCCGAGATGGTTTGCACTACCCCCAAACCACTAATTGTCCCCAAGCTGCTACCAGAGTTTAACGGGTTCTGCAGGCACTACACCGCTACGAAGGGCTGTCTATCCCTGTTTCTTGCCGTAGTACAGCCGCTAGACAAGGGGGGACATCTACCCGTTTCTTTGTTGGGACACGTAGTGGGCACCTTCTTACTTGGTGGTTCCCAGCCATCCCCCTAGGGTTTTTAGGCTTTTAGGGTTTTGTGGTTGGGTTTCCACTACCACAAGTTCTTCACAATTGGCAGTTCCTTTGACTTCCATTTGTGTGTGGAGGTTTTGGGGGGGGGGGGAATGACATCCCTCTGCGCGGCGGCGGTTTGTTTGTGCGGCAGGATCTACTTCTACTGGATCTGCCGTGGGCAGGAGGAGTTCGACTGGTTCTGCGACCTGCTGGCGGATGCCGCTGAGGGCCCGCACGCCGGCATCGTGGACACTTCGCTGGTGCGATAGGGAATGACGCAACGAGATTTGGTGTTGCGGGAATGAACCGGAAGGGGATGACCTTAAAGGAAATCGTACAAAATGGTTTATAGGGGTCATTCCCTCATTCCCTGCCGAGAACCAGCAAGCGTATTATGGCTGTGTCCGTTTTTTAGACCCCCGCCAAAATGGGTGGGTTTTCCTTTTGCTTCCCTTTAGAATCACTCAACAAGGGGTACCCTCAGAAAAGGACTCACCCACATTCTCCTTTTGGGTGGTTTCACGCATCACCTTTTTGGCCCGTTTAAGGTGAGTTTCGCTTAGATGTTTTAGGCGGAACCCTGTTTCACCCCCTTCAAGCAGTGGGCGAAATTGTCTTGAACAAGGCCCTCACAACCTTGAAGTATGAAACAAAAGGATATGATTTGAATCATACCCGTTGCACTCCCACCAACAAGCAGGATTTGGTTCAGAGACCACTTTTTGGAAGTACATTCAAAGGTCGGAGGCTCTTTGAATTCGTGGTTTTAGGTGAGTGTTTGTGTGCTGAGATTTCTGCCTTGGGCTGTTCCCTTTAATCATCAGCATGGTTACGCTTCCGTAGTTTCAGCAGTCTGTCTTTAGGTTCATTGCTTCCAGTATGTGCCCCTTGCAATCAACGTATTTCAATGTTAAAGAGGGATTCCACCGTTTTTCATGGTCCACCGAAAGTGTGCGCGGGGAGCTTGCAGATGGCTTGCGTCTTACCGCGGGAGTAAGGACATCACCTTGTTCCTCACCGGCGAGATTGAGTTGTCCCAGGCAGGCTTCGGGTATGTGTCAAAAGAGAGGCCCCAAGAAAACACATACAATGGGGTTTTCCCGTTGGCTTTCAGCAGAATCCAGCTTTAGATGCGTATCCTCAAAAATGCACATGCCCTTTGAGGTTTGGGGGGGGGGGGGGGTGGGAGTGCTTCTGGTTTGCCCACCGGTGCTGACGGGTGTTTCAGAATAGGTTAAACCCATACCCCCAAACGGTTAGGTAGGGGCTCATTAGAAAGCGCCCCTGGTGGATTGTTGGTTTCGGTGGTGAGCACGTTGTGCTTTTGGAGCGAACCTGTGTAGTTGTTGGATGACTTTATTCAGCGTCCTTCTATTTGGTAGGGGACCCTCTACGAAAGCCAGGGGTTCAAATCCCCAAGCCGCCAATCCAAAACTGAGGCTTCCTGATTTATACGGAATGAAACGATTAGGGTCGGATGCGTTCTGGAGGTTGCTGAGTCAGCTAGTTCTGGGATTAAAGTTCTGGATGCGGTCTCTGCTTGATGCAGAGTGGCTCAGCCTGGTAGACAGGGTTCCTTTTTTGTTTCCATCAGGAAAGAGCTCAAGTCATTCTCGGGGGTTGGAAGTGCTCCTGTCGCATCAAGGCGGTACGTAATTCCCTGGTGAGAGATGGGTGACTAGCAGGCTTTGGCACAAAGGTTCACATGGCCAGACTCCCATGCTTTTGCTTTGGTATGAGGAACAAACATGAGGTTGTGCAGACACTGGTGTTGAGGATACTTTTCTTGGGGCTTCTTTGAAGAACGAAGGGGAACAGCTCGTTTGAGGTTCTCTTGTAAGAGAGGGCACTGCAAATTAACAACCCAAAACCGAGTCTCCCAAAAGGAGATTCTCCCAACAGATGGCTTTTTGGTTTCATACTGAATCTGCAGAGATGTCAGACATCTTTTTCCCAAAGGCTGCGCTGAGGCGTTGAGATGCGGTCCAACGCGGTCCATCGTCCATTTCGGGCTCGGTTCTCTTTTGTAAGGGGGAGGAGCTCTACCCGCAAAAAGGCAGGAGACGAGGGTCTGAAGTTCCCAAGTCCGACAGAGGTTTGGTCACAAAGGCTCAGGGAACACGCCATCCGGGGTGTTCCTTTTGGTTTCCCTTTGAAACCCACCCCGAGACTGCCAACCCAAATTCACCACCTGACAAAAGCCTTCGCATTCGGGTCTATCGCTTTTTTTGAGTTGCTACCTTGTATGTTTGTAACTTTTTCAAGGACCACAAGGACCGTTGCGCCATTTTGGTTGCCCAGACCCTCAACACAGATCCACCCTCCCCCCCCGGGCCCCGGACGGTGCCCCTTGGTCGCCCAGATCGGCTTGAGGTGAAGAAGCTGCCCTGCGCCTCGGGCCAGTTCTTCGGGCGACCCAACTGGGGCCGGATCTTCAAGCAGAACCGAGCCTCGGCTCGAAACGAAGATATCGATGGATCGATCGATCGATACCCAAGAGGATTGACTTTTTAGGGGATTTGTTCAGGAACCCTGGGCTCTCAACTACCCACTCCCCTACCTGCCTCCCTTAGGGATGCCATGTTCATTGGGTTTGGATTTGAACCCCTGGTTCTTGTGCTTGTACATACCCCTTTTACATACCCCTTGGACAAATGAACCCAAAAGGCCTGCCACGGAAGCCAAGGGTTACGAACAAGGGGTATGTACTTCCACCCTTAGATTGTAGAGGGTAAGTGACAGTTTCTCAGCCCCCCCCCCCCCCAAATTGGTGCCTTTTCCTGTCAGTTTCCTTCAAAACCTCCAAAGAGGGGTAGCCTCCCAAAAAGACACCACCCCTCTGCGGTTGGTTTTCCAAGCGGGAAGCAACATGTGGCTTTTTCTCAACTCTAGATCCCCCAGTCAACACCTGGCCCGTGTTTCGATCCCTTTCGAGGAAAACCTGAGGTCTGTTGAACAACATGGGGTTGAACTGCTTCCAAACGGCTTTGTGTTTGGCTTCCTCTGGGATTTGCTTCGGCTTTCTCTGGTCCTTGTTTCTGGGGAAGCGAGGGGCTTGCAACCCACACCCTCCTTGAACTTGTTCTTTTGAAACCCATTTGTGTTTTTGAGCATGCAAAACCCTTTTCTTTTTGCGCCCAAAATGCCAAGCCTTGCGTTGAACGGTTTCCGGGGGGCGGTCCCAAACCTAAGGCTTGCGTTGAAGGGGTGGCATGATGCGTCGACTTTAGCTTCCGATTGAGTATGGGTGGTCAACAGACGTCAGCTGGCTTCGACTTGAATGTTTGTTGCTTTTGCCTTTTGTTCCATGACTCTCTTCAGTCGGTTGAGTGTTCTATGCTCGAAAAATGTCCCAACCATGCTGAGGAGAGAAGCATCAGGGCGAGCACGTGGCTCATCAGCAGCTCACATGGCCGCCCTTCGTAAGTTTGGGGAGGTTCCTCTAGTCTGAAGTGGCACGCTGTGATGCCCTTGAAGGGATAATAGTGTTCCTGCGGCACAGCCGTGGTCGCAATTCCTGCAACGCTGACACGTGATGCATGAGAGCTGGCTGCAATTCCCCTGACCATTCTTGTGCTTTGAGGGGGGGAACCTCCTGGTGGTTGGGTTTTAAGGGAAACCACAAGGAATCAGATTCTTAAGGTTGACACCATATGAATCAACCCCAGTTTTGTTTATTTTAAATATAGGGTTGTGTCTCCGGCTTTACTGGCGATTCATCACTTTTGGAGCCCCCACCTCCCTATTAATAAACTGGTTGGTTGATCAATATGAGATCAACATTAGGGGTACGGGTACACTCCCTCATGAGACCACATTACTGCTAGAGGTTAGACTAGCAGACGTGTTGAATCACCATGCTTGTTGAAAAGTCTGCATTTGGGTATGATTTTGAAGGGCTTGGCATTTGTTTGTTTCAGCAAATGGATCTGCCTTTTTGGAGAGGAATTGTTTTGGGGCCGCTTTAAAGGGAAACCCAAGAGGAACAACACTCTCTCTCTCTCTCTCTTTTTTAGGGGGGGACTCTGGAAAATGAAAAAAACAGCAACTGTTGCAACCAACACTTTCAGGAAGCACTGTTGATGCCGAATCGGTTCTTACCAGCGTTGTTCAGGGGCTTTTCCACGGTTTCCAATGGCCAGACAAGTTGTCGAGTTAGCGGTACTCCCCAGACCTAAGTTTTGAATGGCTCCATCTCGAAGTTGTGGCTTTGGAGAGGAAGCCTAAAGGATCCACCCCTGTAGAAGAATTATAAGGAACACCGGGGCCCATATGTGGAAAAGGAACAACATCATGTTTTTGATTGAACCGTGGCCATTTGTGGAAAACAAGCCCTCATCGAAGTGTATTTCGAGTCGTTTCCTTTTGATTCAACCAGCCCCCCGAAGCCCTCCCAAAATTTCAGACACTGTGCTGAAGGCCTCATGAAGGCCGCGACTTGAGGGCAGTTGGTTGGGAAAGGATCCTTTGTGAAAACCCCGCCAAGTCGACCCCCCGAAACACACCCGAAACACACTGGTTCGGGTCTGCGTCTTTGGCAGGTGTCCTTTTGGTTTCCTTGGGCGGTGTCCTTTTGGCATAAAGCTCGAAAAGGGGATGCCCTCCACAGAAATCAAGTTGGCCTCAGTTGGTGGATTGGATTTTGGATTTTGGATTTGAATTCCTGGTTCTTGTGGGTAGATGGGGGTTTACCCCCAATTGAAGGGAAGCTGATTTTTAGGTCTCCCCCCCTTTCAGCCCGGGGGTAGATTTTTGTGTGAAGGTTGGCGTCTTCCTGTGCGGGTCCCCCATCATCGGAGAAGAGCTGAGCCGGCAGAGCGTGAAGCACTCCGATCTGGTGGGCACGCCACACGCCACGCGCTTCTCCTTCTTCAAGGAGCACTTCTGAGGCGAGGCAGGGATTCTTTGCCTATTTTAGAGCGAGCTCACCGCTCCGGGGGTATAGCAAGCGAAAGCCATGATAAAAGTGCTTTTCTGGGGAATCCAATTCTTACTTCGGCCTTTGTTGGGAATTGTGCTAAAATTTGGAGAATGCCAATGGATTGGATCCCCTCGGTTGTAAGTGAATCGACCTTTCACTCACTCCCTGAGCTCCTGAAATTTCGTCGCCTTTTTGGGTTTGGACCATTTTAGGTCACCGTTTTGGGCCAATCCGCTCGTTTCGACGTGAGCTTCACCCGCTGGGCGAGCTTGAATTTTGAGAGCTAGCAGTTCTGATTCAGGATTCAGGGACACCACTGGGATCTAAGAGAGGTCCCTGGAGTCAACCACACCACTTCCGAGCCGGGCAGGCGGCCTTTTGACTACTGGGGCGTGCGATTTTTTTTCCGGGGGGGGGGGGGTGATTCGGGGTTCTCAAAAGTATTCTTGGGTGTGTTCCAAGCCTGTAAACCAGAGTTTGCAGTTGGGGGATCTTCCGAGGATGTCACTCAGTGGATAAGAGGCCTGCTCAAGGATCCCCACCAGCAAACGGTGGACAGCTTGCAGGGTTTCGCTTTGTGTCTTCCAGTGTTTGGCGTATCCGAATTGAGGGGTGACGCCTGGAATTCCATACTGAAGGTAACGGGATCCTTTTGACAGCCTGTGCCATTGAAGGGGCCCCTGTTTAAATTCCCCCCCTGTGTTGCTCCCTTTGGGTTGAAAGTGAACGGAAATCCCTTGGCTTCCCGTTTACACAACAACCGAGCCAAAGCCAACGAGCCACCGCGGAAAAAAGAGAAGGTGTCACTGGAGTAGGTGAAGATGGCTTTCAACCAAAATTGCGCTCAGAAAGCAAATGAGCGTTTTCATTTAGAGGTAAGCTTGCGCCACAGGGATGTTCAAACCCAAGGAGTTCTTTAAGCCAGGAAGCCCCGGCAAAGATTGCAGAAACCGTACACTCGGATCATAATATGTGCGTCCAGTTTGCACTGGTTGCCGTCAGTGTTAGTTTCTGAGTTTTGGGGGCCCCTTTCCCGAGAAAGGTAACCCAACACTAAAAACACCAGCGGTCATGGATCGCTCGGGAATCATCATGTGGCGCCTCCTTGCAAGAAGAGTTTGATCTTCCGAGTGGTATGTCGGGGGGGGGGGGGGTTAAGGGACTACTTTGTTGGTTGGTCTTAAAGGAACAACCACCGGTTTGGGGGTCATCCTATGTGAGTGGGAGGGGGAGGTTGCCGCATTCGCAGCTATGATTTTCCGGCGGCTTTGTGGAACCCCAACCGAGATCCCGGATTCATCACGGATCCTGAGCTTTGAGCTCCTACTCTTTTTCCTTGGGCGAAGTTGAAGCAACCAACTCAACTCTTTTTTGGGCGACAGAAACAAACGTCGCCAGAGCGGTTCAACTAAAACAGGGAACCAAGGGCTGGGAAACCACCGCCCGGTTGTCCAAACGCCCTTGAGGCCTTTGGGTTTCGCTTGTGGGCCTCAGCCTCAGCCTCTTTCGGGGTGGCCTTTTCCTTTTTTGTTTTGTTTTGCAGCAACTGGACTGACCCTGGCCTCCGGCCCCTTTCCACAAAAATGGGTGTGGCGCAAAATTAAAGAGCTAGGCAGGTCTTAACTCTTTGGTTCCATTTGCCAGGGTGCCATTTTTGGTACATCTTGTTGGTTTGGAGTAGCTTGCATTTGACTCTCTGGTTCGCCGGGTTCAACTTCCTTGCCTTCCCAAGCTGGACAAGGGTCATTGGAGCTCAAGGCGTGCGTGAGTGATTCCTTTCATTGGCTCAAGAATATGTCCTATGTTCCCCTGTTGGTTTTAAAGGGAACCTATGGACGGATGTTCATATTATTTTTTTCTAGGGACTTCAGCAAATGGAGGTTTCTCAAACAGAACCCCCCTACCCTTGCGATTCCTGACTTTGGTTCTGGGCGCAGGTGGCGAATTAACTCTCGATGAACGGAGAGTCAGATCTTCGGCGATTTCTGAGCCGAGAATCTGGTTTGCGGTCCCTTAGAGGGGACTTGTGGCTTCCAGAGCTTCCGTTCATTGGGTAGCCATCAGGGACATCTGCAAAGCTCACCGAAAGGTCCAACTGATTACCCGCAGGAATGGATTGCCTGGGAGCGAGTGGCTGCGGTCCTCTCTTCCTTTTTTTTTGGGGTGCGGTGGGTGGTGCCCGGCCGCCCGGCACTGGCTTTCGAATGTCTGGCGCCTGCTGCGGCTTCGGCGAATGCTGAAGAACCTTACGGCAGTCGCCGGGTTTCTTAGCTCGTTCCCAGACCTTTCGAACCAGTCGAAGTCTGGGGAGCTTCTTATATCGATTGCCACAACCGAGACCACACGAGTCTGGTTGGTGCTTTCCAGAACGCCTCCCATCGCGCCCGCCCTTCCCCTCCCTCCCCCCCCCCACCGGGTGCCTTTAGACACTGAGAGGCGATTTGGCAGTGAGATTTCACCAGTTTCTAGGGGTCTTATTTTCTTTGAATGCTTCAAGTCACAACATGTCAAAGAACGCTGCCAAAGAGGCCGATCGACGTGTCCGCCACTCCCTGAGAGCATGCCTAGCCTGCAAATGCGCCGAGCTCACGGCCTGACATGTCGAGTGGTCCTTGGTTCCATGAAGGGAAATGTGACAGAGTGCGACTTCACAAAGAGGGATTGCGACCAAAACTCGTCTGGGACACTCCGAGTTCAATCATTGGTAGCCTTAAGGTTTGGAGCGTTGGCTCTTTGGAACCATTTGCAAAAGGGTGACATACGTCGCACGCAAACGCCAAACTCTCAAGGGGTCACGTTTCTGGAAACCGCACAATGGGCTCTTTCGCAGGGGGTCCGAAATCTTTAAAGAGTCATGCCGTGGCATGTTTGTTTTTTGTTTGGGGGGGAACCCTTCTTGGTTGGTTGTAAGAGGAAAATACAAGGAACACCACCATTTTGGGGTCCAGAAAAAAGACGCACCCAGGTAGATTGATCCGGTGAGTTCCTTTTGGCCATGTTCGTTTGACACGTACCGCGAGAATGGCTGCGGTCAAAAGCTAGGAAGGATCCAGCTTTGCAGCATTCCCCAGGTAGTGATTTGGGGGTGAGCCACACGGTTGATAGCAAGTAGGGATAGGGCGGTCAACTGACTGCCTAGCAAAATGGGATCCTCCCGGGCCATAGACAATTTTAGCCCGCTATGAAACCGCTGTCTAACTTGCCGTGGCTAAGTCTTGGGGAAAAAAGTCAAGCGCTGAGGCTAACACCATGGCACCAATGGAAGCATCCCCCCCCAGTATGTACTTTGGGGTGTTGCTAAATGGGAAGTCAGTTGTAACCTTTGAACTTATTCCGCAGAATGCGTGGGTTCAACCATTGATTAGAAATGACTCATGTTGTTTTGCACCTTTCTCAAAATAGAGGGACTTCCAATGAATGTGTTTTGTGCATGGTTTTATTACTTATGTTTCCCCCCATTGTCCTTATCCTTTTCTGGTTTCCCATTCCCTGTGTTTTTTGTGCTGTTTTCCTCGGCTGAAAGGTTCCCACCTGGTTGGATTGCAAGGACAAACAAGAAGCGAGGCTCCTGAAACAGAAGTGTTTCAGGTACGGCAGATTGGTGGCTTGGATGGTTTTGGAATCTGAACTGATCGGGCTATGTCCACACCGACCCAAGAGCTTTGAGACTGGTAACATGGAAGGGGTTGCCCGGACCCCGGGTGATCGAACTACTTTCAAAGAGGTCTGACAAAAGCAGCCAAAAGGTAGGTAAAGCCCAAGAGGCAAAGCCCAAAAGGAGAAAAGCAGAACCAAGCCCCCCAACAAAGAAATCACCCAAAAGGTTCCAAAACAAAAAGAAGCCGACCCCGCCCCCACCCAGACAAAAAAAAAACAATACAAAAGAAGAAACAACAAACAAAACAACAAGGACATAGATCAAAGAAAAAGAAGCCCGACAAAGAGGAAGGTTGGTCCACCCTCTCCCCCCCCCCCCCCACCCCCCAACGTTGCCAGGTGATCTCCGCGCGCTTCGCGGACCGCGCGGAGCAAGAGTCTGGGGCTGACTTGTTCAAAGCGAATCGACCGGATCTAACCTTTGAACAATGCACAACAAGTCCATAGAACTTTTCTTCCCAATCCTCTGCCCAGAGCGGAGCGACCTTGGTCCGCAGCTTTTGGTTTTCGCTTTTTGGGCTCCCCCAGTTTGTGTAAAGAGCACAAGAGATGTCTGGGTGTTTTTAGGCAAGAGAGCTGGGGCTGAGGCTCAAGTTGACTCCGGAAAATTGATGAGTGTGGTGCCTAGTTTTGTTTGAGGGACTCTCAAAATGGGTTCTGTGAAGATTTCGTCCCGAAACTTGCGTTGACATGAGTTTGTAACCACCCGGCCTTGCGGCCCAATTCGCCACCTGCCCAAAGGGCGGGACTTTCATCTGAAACCTCGGCCGCGGCCTCGCCATCATGGCATGCGCAGCCTGAGCCACCTAGAGCCAGGCCAGTGGAAAACATCAGCCCGTTGACTTCGTGCGCAGAGCCGCGATTCGCGGCTACCGATATCCCCATCACACCAGAGCCCATCACGCACCTCACGCTCCCCTATGGCATCCTCAGCGAAGGGCACCAAGCCCGATGAATCTGGCGGCACCGCCTCCGGCCACTCCAACGAAGTCGTCAGGGACAACTTCATCCCGGTCTTCGATGGGAGACCCAACAACTACAAGGAGTACCGGATGCGCATCATGCTCTACTACCGGAAGATGAGCCTTCAAAATCGCAAGAGCGAAGCTACCATCAACCTGCTCACCAGCCTCTCCGGCACGGCATGGAAGAATGTGGAGCACATGGTCGACTCAGTCCCGGACGCGGAGGACGGCTTCGAGCAAGTGATCGCACAGCTCGACCTGGCCTTCAAGTATGACGACCGCGTCGAGATGCCCCGCACCTTCGAAAGGTTCTTCTACAACTTGAGCCGGAAGACGCACCAGAACCTCCTTGCCTACTGCACCGAGCATCGCGAACATCTTCGAGAAGTCGAGCGCCACAAGGTCGTCATCCCGCCGGCGGTCAGTAGCTGGCTACTCCTACGCCGAGCCGGCCTTACGGCCGAGCAACGCCAGCTGGTCATGGGACAGGTTGGCAACGACTCCTCGCTCGAGAAAATGGAGGGAGTGCTCTACTACCTCGGACAGGACTACACCGGAAAGCACAAGCGCAACCACGCACAACGCTGGATTCCTCAGCGCGGCCGTGGCCACTACCAATGGAACAACTGCCGGAAGCCCGCCACGGTTCATTGGGCCTACGACGACGAGCTCTACTACGAGCACGACACCTACGGCGACGAGGAGGGCGTCTACTGGGAGGACGAGGACAACATCACTTACCCCGACCAACCCACCGAAGAAGAACAACCACAAGACTTCAACGAAGAGATCTACTTCGACGAGGACCACAAGTACACCTACGACGAGGACGAAGAGGAGGCCTACGCCACCTACATCGATGCCCGCAAGAAGCTTGCGGAACATCGCAGCGCTCGAGGGTACTACCCGGTGGTCGCTCTCACCGACACCAACGCCCTGCCCGTCACCTCCACCTCATCATCCCTACCATCACACGGCGGCAGAGGAAAATCCTCGAAGGGCAAGCACTCCAAGAGCAAGGGCAAGGGAGTCGGAGGCCGGCCACCACAGAAGGGATCTGCATCACAACGTGCTCGTGATGCCCTTCCACCTGGCACCAAATGTCTTCGGTGCGGCCAACCGGGCCACTGGGCAGCTCAGTGCCCACAGAACTCCCAGCCGAACTCTCCGAACAAGCGGCCGAAACCGGCCGACAGCATGGTTGCCCAAGAGGAGACCGCCTACCTCGAGGACCACGTCGATCAGCCCTACATCACCGGCACGCAGGACGGCGGAGCGTCCAGTGTCCTATGCGGACATGACGTCCTGATGCAGCTCCTCACCAAGCTCTACCACAAGGGCCTCCCCCTCGAGGAAATCCAGTTCAGCCGGACCAACAAGAGTTTTCGGTTTGGGGGAGACAACAGCAGCATCTCCACCTGGTCTGTGCACCTCCCGGTGTTCATGGCCGGCTACAAAGGCCGCATCCAGACCTTCATCGTGGAAGGAGGCACACCCCTCCTGATCGGACGTCCGGTCCTGGAAGCCCTCAAGGTCAAGATCGACTACTGCAGTGTCCTCAATGAGCCCTGCCTGCCACAAAAGGGCCCATGGGCGAGTACCTGCTTCGCCTCGACGACGGCATCGAGGACGCCATCCACCACGACCTCACCTTCGACTACATGACCAACGACGTAGTCACGGACGTGCGCCAGCACCTACTCCAGCTCTACACCATGGAGGACTACATCCTGGACACGGGTCGCCCTGGACCCATCCTACCTGAAATCGCCCAACACGTTGATTGCACTACGACTTATAACCTGCCCTCCGATGACGCTCCGGACTTCAACCTCCATGAGGGCGTCACGGAGCCGGTACTCGGCGACATCCCCAACAAAATCTGGCGCCGTCTGGCGCAGCTTTGATGTTGCTCTTGCAACATGGCACAACCGCGTCAACTTCCACAAGCCACCAAGCACAAGCCGGACGGCAAGAAGGTCTTCTGGGAAGTCTACGCCGGGGAGGGAAACCTCTCTCGGGCCATGGCTGATCGCGGCTGGATCGTCCGCACCTTCGACCTCCCGGAGTGGGACTTCACGAAGTCCAACTGCACCAAAGCCTTCTACCAGCTGCTCGATGAGGAACTCCCGGATGCGGTCTGGCTCGCGCCACCTTGCAAGAAGTGGTCTCGCACGCAGAACATCAATCAGAGGACCGCTGAACACACCGAGCTGCTGCACCTGGACCGCGCCTATGAGCACACGACCAACCTGAAGTTCACTCGCCGTGTGTACCTCTGCCAGCAGCGCGGCGGGCGGCAAGCCTACATCGAGCAGCCCCTTTGGTCCCTGGCTTGGAACACCACCGCCTTCCAACTGGACGGCCATCGCGCCATCTTTGATCAGTGTGCCTACGGTGCGGGTTTCTGGACCTCAGCCACTGTCTGGAACAACATCCGCAAGCCGACAGCCGTGCTCTCCACGGAGCCGATCTTCGCCGAGATCCTGAGCCTCAAATGCCCATGGCAACCACACGCATGTACATCTACAAGGCCACTGCCCCGGGATCGGAAGCCTCACCACGGCTGCTGCCGCGTACCAACCAAGCATGTGCGAAGCTATCAGCGACGCCATCTGCACCAGCGCTGAACAGTGCAAGGAACACACCTATGTCCAGAACGAGGACCCCGAGGCTCCTCCTGAACCTGGCCATGATCCGGACGAAGCTCATGGTCACGATCAGCACCTCAACCCGGCCGGCATCCTCCAGAAGATCCGACACGACAACCCGGTTGAAAGCCGCCTGGTAGCCAGATTGCACAGGAACCTCGGACATCCCACTCAGGCCGAGCTCCTGCGACTCCTTGAAGCCAGAGGAGCATCCGAGGCCGTCATCCTTGCGGTGAAGGACTACCACTGCGAACTCTGCCATCGCTACACCAAGCCGGTGCAGACGCCAAAATCCACCACTCGGACCGCCTTCGTGTTCAACCAGCGCCTACAGCCCGGCCGACACCCTGTGGATCCAAGTTCAAGGAAAACCAGTACCGGTGCTCACCATGCTGGACGCTGCCACCCGGTACATGTCTGCCCGAGTTCTTCCAGCAGAAGCCAGCCAGGAATTCCTCAATGCTGTGCCGCGAGGTTGGGTACGAACCTTCGGACCCCCTCAACAACTTCAAGTTGATTCACATCGGGGATGGTGCGCTGACCTTGTCCGACAATGGACTGGCGAACACTCCGTCGAGCTGATGGGACACTCTCGACTTCACCATCCCGGCCCTCAACCGCATGTCCACCTACAAAGGCTTCACCCCGAGCCAATGGGTACTTGGCTATCAGCCTCACCTTCCTGGCCAACTTGTTGAAGAAGGCCTCAGCCCGACACAACTCCAACCATCAGAGAAATTCCATGAAAAGCTACAACTACAGCTCAAAGCGAGTCAAGCCATCCTCGCCGCCGATGCCGACGCCCGACTCAGACGAGCCCTTTGTCCGACAGTATCGCGGCAACCCCGAGCCCCTCACCATCGGCATGAACGTCTACTACTGGAGGGATGCCGCTGGGACTGGACCCAAGATCAAATGGAAGGGCCCGGCCAGCATCGTCATGGTCGAAACCGACAACGAGACCGGCAAGCCCCGATGCTACTAAAACGTCCACGGATCCAACCTTCTCCGTGCAGCCCCCAAACACGTCCGACGGACTTTCGAGGACATGGCCATCCCCGACACCGAGCCACGGAAGATCCTCCAGGACCTCCGGAATCGAGGAACCACCACCTACGTCGACCTCTTCAGATCCAACAAGCGCAAAATCGACGATGTGGTCTCCGATGATGAGGATGTGGACCCGGACCCAAAGCGACCGTCCCCGGACCATGAGCCTCTGGTCGACTACTCGGAGCCTGCTCCCAACGGACTGTCCTTCGATCGGGTCCATCAGTTCCCACGACACCAGCTCTTCTGCCCATCACCGGATGACCCCGACATCCCATAATATCACCGACTCGGAAGCCTTCGGCGCACCGAGATCTACCGCCTGGCATCGGACACAGGCCTATTCGACTCGCACTTCGACATCCAACATGCATGGATTGGTCGCACTCGCTTCGTTGTGGTCAACAACGACAAGCTCCACCAGCGCCCACGGGGTTTGAACCGACGACTGAGCCTAGCTCAACCTCTGGATCGCGAGGTACAGACGGCCACAACTCTGCCGAGCCATTGGCAGAACCCGAACCAGCTTCATCTCCACCACACGGACCTCACAAGCCCCGACAACCACTACATCTACCGACTTCGACCTCTACAAAAAGACCGTGCGTGAATCCTTCCACGAACAGCGGCGACGGGTAGACCGACAGGAAACGATCTCCTACGGACTCCTACGGCCCCAGTCATCGTCGCGGCCAACGACCTGGACCATACGAACAACAACCACCCGACGAGACAGCGGACTACGCCTTCAAGGTCGACATCGTCGACGACACCAGCGACACCAACATGCCTCTCCCACCAGGATGGCACGCTGACGCCTCAGGCCACGTTGTGTTGGACACCATCCACGACGACTGGACCCTCTCCAAAAATGGCAACTACCTCATCCGCAACCACTACATCCCCCGGAACACGCTCTACGACCCAAGTGAGGACGGGAATTGCCCCATTCCTCTACCCATGCTCCACAAGTCCCGAACAACTCGTTTCGCAGACGGCCAATCACGACAAGATCGTTGGCGCTGCCGCTCCAACCACCTCGACGAGCAAATCTACTGGACAGGACGCACTTCCTTCAAGATCCAACCGCGAGACCGAGTACGAGCCCACGAGCATTTCTTCAACACGTCAGAAGGTCACCAGACCTATGCCGGCTCTCCACAACAGCGGAAGAAGGACTCCAAGAACCTCTCCGAGCGCACCATGAGCCTCGCAGATCAGCAGAGCTTCATCGAGGCCAAGCGCAAGGAACTCGCCAGCTTCTTCCAGAACCGGGTGTGGGAGTTCTCAGATGAGCCAGAAGCTCTGTCGTCCTGAAGTGGAGCAAGAACGAGGACGGCAGTCCACGTGCCAAGGCTCGGCTCATCACGCAGGGTTTCAAGGACCCTGACGCCCTCAGCGGGATTGTTGAGCGCACCTCGCCCACCGTGACGAGGCTCACGCGCGGCATGATCCTCTCCACCGCGGCCAACAACGGATGGGGCACCTTCACGGCGGACATCTCCACCGCATTTCTCCAAGGACGCGAACATGCACCGCACCCTGTGGATTCGACACCCGGCTGACGCACGGAACATTCTTGGCATCACCAACTCGCGCATCCTCATGCGGCTCCGGAAGCCCATGTACGGCCTGGTTGATGCCCCCTCGAGCCTGGTATCAAGAAGCCAGCGAACGACTCGCGAAGGTCGGACTCGTCATGCACCGGCTTGACAGCTGCGCCTTCGCCCTCTACGACGACTACAACCCTGAGACCTCAACTTCACCTCCACTCCTGGCTATCATCGGTCTCCATGTTGATGACCTACTTGGCACCGCCGACAAGAGCCATCCCAAGGTCACAAAATTGATCGAGGACCTCAAGAACATCTACACCTTCAGGGAATGGAAAGAAGGTCCCAGCCTTGAATACTGCGGTGCCACCCTGGAGGCCACCGACGGCGGCTGGAAACTACATCACAAAGAATACCTCAAGAAGGTCAAGCCCATCACCGTCGGCAAGGACCGCCAACCACATCAGCAAGTGACGGACAAGGAGAGGAACCTTCTCCGATCCCTCCTTGGAGCCCTGCAATGGCCAGCAGTGCAAAGCTCACCACATCTACAAATTCACACCTCAATGTTCTCCGGCGAGATCACCACTGCCACCATTGAGACCATCCACAACACCAACAAGGCCCTCCGTTACGCAAAGAGCAATGACGACGTTGGCCTCACCTATCGGCCCATCGCCCCCATTGCAGACTGTTGCCTGGTGGCATGGTCTGATGCAGCCTTTGCATCCAGAAAAGATCACAGCTCGCAGGGGGGCTTCATCGTCGCCCTGATGCACAAGGACGCCATCGAGAAGGGCTTCGAGAGCGAGTACCACATTCTGGACTGGTCTCTGCTCATGAACCCCCCCATGCTCGGCGTCATGAACACCCCTGCCACCTTGGTGGTTGACGCCAAGGCACTATATGACCTCCTCGAGAAGCGGGAAGTTCAAGCATCCCTGGGCAGTGACAAGCGCACCGCCATCGAGGTCATCGTCACCAAGGAGAAGCTTGCGGAGATCAACGGCAAGAGCCGCTGGGTCTTCTTCTGAACGCCAAATGGCTGACGGACTCACCAAGGTGTCCGCCGCCCAGCTCCTGGCGGACCGGCTTCGACTCCACCGGACACGACTGGTGGATGACAGCACCTACGAGGCCGCTCGAAACAAAACCCCTCAGGAACGAAAAGACAGCACCTACCAGTACGCGATTTCCCGACCTGCGCGGCAACACACCACCTCGACGGCATTCTGGGTAGCAACGATGCTCACGCTTCCCACCATGGCCACAGCCCACTCCGAGGAGCAGCTCTACGGCAGTGACTATGTGCTGCTGTTCCTGCCCCTGATGATCCTCTTGATCGGCATCCTGATGTGCGGCTTTGTCATGACAAGCCACCTTCGCACGCATGGACTCACTGAAGCACAACGCCTCCAAGAGCGCATCCATCAGCTCGAGAACGACCTCTGCGACGAGAAGGCCTATGTCAAGTCCACGGAGGAGGCCCTCATCGAGGCGCAGGACGAGCTCAAGGCCATGCACGAGTCAGCGAACATCGCTGCTGGGGAAATCATGCGGCTACGCCAGGAAAACGGGCAACAGCACCGCGACCTGCGAATGACAGAAGGCGTGCTTCGGGACGCCACCACCTCGGCGATCTACCTCTGCCGGAGTGGAATTGTCACCGCCTCCGAGAATGTGCTGAGCAGCGATCGCAGGAAATGATCACCACGCGGCGCCCCTGCAGAGTGTGTGTGCACCCGAGCGACTCCATTCAGGCACCAGCATCCGGCAGCGGCACGCGCTGAACATGGAGGGCCATAACCAGGACACCGTGACCTGAGCCTGGCACCGACCCTGGGACTGGCAGTTTTGTTTGTTTTGCCTCTCCCACCAGTGTGAAGATTTCGTCCCGAAACTTGCGTTGACATGAGTTTGTAACCACCCGGCCTTTCGGCCAATTCGCCACCTGCCCAAAGGGCGGGACTTTCATCTGAAACCTTGGCCGCGGCCTCGCCGTCATGGCATGCGCAGCCTGAGCCACCTAGAGCCAGGCCAGTGGAAAACATCAGCCCGTTGACTTCGTGCGCAGCGGGGCGGAAGACCAACATCTTCAAGGCTTCGTTTTAGTTGAAGCTCGTTACCTTTGTTGGGTGATCTTTTGTGGAGAGCAAAAGGGGACCAACCGTTTATTGCAGTCACCTGTCTTGTGACACACATATTGGTGATGAAATATTTGGCGAACATGTCCCACATTTTGCTCGCCGTGTATGGAACATATTCCATACTGGGGAGGGGGTTGGGCCCGAATCTCCGCAAGATGTTTGACACCTACTAAGTTAGGGGGTGCCTCGGACGTCAAACCAGTGGAGGGAGTGATTTCTATCCGTGCATCCCGAGTTGTGGCTTCTCCGGCATGGTGTGTCAGTTCAATTCAGGGAACATTTCAGGTACACCCCAGGTCACCAATCCAGTTAATGATTTGTCTTGTTGGTTATCTTCCCCATTCTTTTCATAAACCGGCTGTTTCTCAGGGTTTTGGGTGGATTTGTAGAAAGAAGGATGCCTGGAAAGACTGGGGAAGGCACCCCTAGATATCTACTTGTACCATAAGGGGTGTTATTTCTCCTTGTCCTTCCATGCGGACCCCTCACTGGCCACGCAAAGGTCATCTTGAGCCACTTGGGCGGACGAGGGGCCCCACGGACGAGGTTTCCACCAGAAAGAAGCACGTGTAGTGGAAAAGCAGGGTCCGTTTCATCGGCTTGAAGGAGGTTGGGTGATGGAATGGGTTGTTAAAAAGCAACTATTTTGAGTATGTATTTATTGGTATGAATTAGTAGTATTGTGGTTTTTATTTATAAAACAAACATATATATATATATATATGTTCTTGAGCCTTGTGCAAGATGATCGTGGCTTACCTTAGCTTGGTGTTCCACTAGGGATTAGGAAGTAAGATCAGGGATTTCCCCTGTGATTTGTGGCAACTCTGTT